CAGGAAAAAAGGAGTGGCAACTGCCAGCTTCAAGGAGTCCCCAAAATCTAGAAAATATAGGTTCAGTAACCCTTGGCCCATGGAAAAAAGTGCATCGAAGTTCCTTAAGGGGCTAAGCAAAATACATATCAGGGCAACTAAGGATTCCAGGGCAGCTAGATTTCTGCTCCAACGGCTCAGTGCTGAAGTTCAGAAAGGTAATGCTTGTTGTATCCCGTGTTCGCGCCCCAACTCTGTGGAGCTAGATACGATAAATGTTTTGTATTTTTTTAACAAGCAAGTAGCAATATGTATTTGTAATGTATCCAACAAAACGTATATTATACACTCCACCTTTGTGCCATCAATGCGTCGTTTAAAGCTTGAGTACCATATTACTCAATAAAATATACCTATTTATGAAATTATAAAAGATGGTGTAGTAAGGGAAGTGCAATATTCAAACGGTTTTAGGAAAAAATCCCAATATTTTTCCTAGAAGCCTTTTTATCTACTTCTCCAAGGCTATGGGTCCCCACATTTGCACTAAAGGAAGACCCAATATATATATAATATAATATATATATATATATATATATACAATATATATATATATATAAATATATATATGTATATATATTTATATATTATATATATATATATATTATATATATATATATATATATAATATAAATTTATATATATATATGATATATATATAATATAAATATATATATATATTTATATATATAATTATTTATATATATAATATATTTATATATAAATATATATTTATTATATATATATATATATATATATATATATGTTATAAATATATATATATAAATGTATATATAATAATATATATAGTATATATAGATATTTATATATATATATATATACATATATAATATATGTTATATATATATATATATATTATATATATATATGTATATATATATATATATATATATAGTATAATATATATATGTATATATATATCTAATATATATATATATAAATATTTAATATATTGTATATATATATATGTATTTATATATATATATATATATAGATTAATAGATATAGAAATATATATATATGTTTATATATATAATATTTGTAAAATATATATATGTATGTATATATATATATATATATATTATATATATATATAATATATATGTATGTATATAAAATAGTATATAAATATATATATTATATATATATATAATGTATATATCTATATAATATATATAATATATATATATGTATATATATCTCTATATAATATATATATAGAAATATATATGTATATAGTATATATTATTTATGAATATATATATATGTATAATATAATAATAAATATATATAATATATATATATAAATATATATATATATATATATATATATATATATGTATATAATATATATATATATAAATATGTATATATAATATACATATATCTATATTATATATAAATATATTATTATATAATCTATATATAATATAATATGTATGTATGTAATGTATATATATATATATATAAAAATATATATAAAATATCATATCAATCTAAATATATCCAGTCAATATATATGTATATCCTCTAAATATCTATAGCTCTAAATATATCTATAAATATATATATAAATATAATCTGTATAAATATGACTAAATCTGTATAACAATCTCAAAATAAATATAAACTAATCTATATTCTCTATATATACTATAATATACAGTATGTAGTGATATATATATATCAATATCTATATATATCTATCTATCAAATATAATATAATAACATATAAATATATGTCACTAAATCACAACAAATATATATCCTCTCATCTACTCTATCAACAAAATATATAATTGATGTGTGTCTCTATATAAAATATCTATAATACTCTATCTAGCTATGTCTAATGTCTATATATATATCTATATAAATCTATACTATCAATCTATCTTAACTCATATCTCTCTCACAGTCACAACACAAACTGTGTTGTGTTTCAAAACTCACAATCTATATCATAAATACATTGGTCCCGATCGCTTTTTCGTAGTTTCCTCGGCCAATCGTAACATTTCGCCAATCAAAGGGTATTTTCGTATAAACATGACACGCTTTTTCATAGGTTGACTCGCGCATATAGATTGGTCTGGGACGCCGAACGCACGGTGGTGAGCCGGGGCGGCGTCCCTACCCAGCCCGTCCAGGCATTGTGTACCAGCTGATGAAGGTCCCCCTCAAGTGCTCCTACTAAATAGTTCATAATATTCCACTCATTTTAGTGCTTGCAATTACTAAATAACTACGCATGGCTCAAAGAAAAGCGCCTAGTGCCAAGCCGTGTAAAGAAGGTGAGAAATATGCACAGTGACACAGCTTGGGCCATTTCGGGAAGTGTTTAGAGATGCCAGAAACAGAGCTCTCTCCACAGTTAACTTGCGAGAACAGGACTAGAAGTGACTCTCAAGGTGGTCCCTTGTGCATGAAGAAACAGAGA